ATATCTAATATACCGAAAGTATTTAAAAATAACCTACCTAACGTACTTAACATACCTAACATATCTAATATACCTAATATACCTAATATGACTAACATATCTAATGTGCCTAATATTTGGAAGGATTACACGCAATATTACAAACAAATACCAGCTAATTTCAAGAGAAAACGATATTTTCCGAGGAAACTAAAGGGACGACGAAATTATTTGTAATAATAGATAATAATATATATTTTATGTAGTGTCATTGATATATCTCTTTGTGTCCTTTCATTTCTTTTTTCTTATTTTTTTCTTTTTTTTTTTTTTTTCAAGTCAACGAATGCAATGACGAAGTTTCCCTTGACCAGGATTCATGTAACTACATACATATATACGTACATACACACATACATACAAACATACGTACATATATTTCTTTTGATTTTAACAAACGTATAAATTAATAGCTGTAATTACATATGTTTGAAAGATAAAGATTATAGATCGCAACATCAAAATTTACCGAACGATTTAAGACATTAATTACGTATTACAATATAATCGTACAAATGTATGGTATAATATATATATGGTGGTACTACCAACTAGTATAACCCACGTAAATTAGTTAATTAATCACGTTGTCTAAGAATTAAAATTACCATTGGAATCTATTTGAAATTCTAAGCCAATAGAAAGATACGTATATAACTTATTGATTTAGGTAATACTCATTTAAAAAGGAGAAGGTTACTGTTAGATCACTTTCCCCCTATAACTTCAATGTCTACGTGCGTTTTCTTCAATTTTTTCAATTTACTTTATTCTCTTTCTCTCTCTCTCTCTCTCTCTCTCTCTCTCTCTCTCTCTCTTTCTTTTTAAAATAAGTTAAAAATTTAGTTTATTGCTAGAATAAAATGTCTATTGTGTGTCTTCTTAACTTTCTTCCTTTTACGTGGTCTCTCTCTCTCTCTCTCTCTCTCTCTCTCTCTCTCTCTCTCTCTCTCTCTCTCTCTCTCTCTCTCTCTCTCTCTCTCTCTCTCTCTCTCTCTCTCTCAAGAACAAGTTAAGAATTAGTTTATTGCTAAGAATAAAAATATCTACTTGGGGAAATCCAGTCACGAAATCGAAGGTGTTACGATGCCGTTGTGAAAACGTTCGAATACAGTCCGCGCCATACTTTTTCCAACGTTATACTGTTTCCATTGTACATTTATATATGTACGTACATCAGTATGTATGCACGAATGCACGTATGTATGTATATATGTACGTATGTATGTATGTATGTATGTATGTATGTATGTATGTATGTAGTAAAGACCACCCATGTATCAGCTGATGTCGTACTCGTAAATACGTGAGTCTCGTTTTTACCTCCTATCATGGATAGTGGAGAGGAGAAAAAAGAGGAGAAGGAGGATGAGGAGGAGGAGAAGGAGGAGGAAGAGGAGGAGGAGTGGGTGAGGGACTTTAAGTTTGTACGAGAGGAACCGTGTCCTCTTCGAAGTATATAGAAATGTTTCTCTCGTACATAACTCGTAGGTAGTTTGATGTGGTAAGCAAGTAACATACGGTCGAGACCACAGCGACATTCTACTCCGACTTATTATCTACGTGTTTCGTTATCTTCACAAGTAATCCGATTTAAGGAGATCGATTTAATTAGTTCCACATAACGATTTTGTCCTCTAATAATATTGGGAAAGAAAAAAGGAAAAAAAAAGAAAAAAAAAAAAAAAGAAAAAAAAAAAAGAAAAGAAACCAACAACAACAAGAACAAGTGAGTAATCGTTTTTTTTTTTCTTCTTTTTTTTTATACGAGGCAATATTTTATATAATGGCACGTTCGAAAATATTTCTTCGATATTTTATATTATCTTATTTATATATCTATTTTATATATTGATATATTATAATTTGAAAATAATATACGTATATATATATATATATATATATATATATATATATTATTTTTAATTTAACGAAAATTTAGTTTTCCAATAGATATAAATAATTTTTTGTATGTCATTTAAATGCGATTAAAATAAATTTGGTAATTATTAACTCAATCGTTTTTTATCATTTATTTATTTTATATATATTTATTGATTTGAAATGGAAATTCGATGATACTTTTATTCGATCCTTTCTATTCGTTCTTATCTTGTATATGTGCGTCTGTGTGTTTTTCTTCTTCTTTTTCTTTTCTTTTTCAATGAATTTTATACAATGTTAATAAAATATAATTATTATGGATTATTAGATCGGAGAATAAAAAATTTCGATGAATTTTTGATAATAAAATTTGTTAACAAACTCGCTATGTAATATCGAGTTCGATAAAACGCAAACGAAATTAATATTTAAACAGGCACGCGCGTGAAAGTTCGACTATTGAAATGTTGGACGAATTTTTTCGTATTGATTTAATTTGTATTACGGTCACGTTTATTCCAATACTATTTTTTTTTTCTCTCTTAAGTGAAAAGTACTTTCTTTGCCACGTGGAAAAACAATTGATAGTTTCTATATAACGAATCTTGCAATATAATAGTAATCGTTAATTTTCAATTAAAACAAACGAAACATTTATCGGAACATATTTGATTGGATACGATAAAGAAGCGCATAAGTATTGCATTGATGTAAAAATTAAAAAAAAAAAAAAAAAAAAAAAAAAAATAATCAATATATACGATACAAGTAAAATAACGTTCAAAGTAGATCAGATTTTCTCTCTCTCTCTCTCTCTCTCTCTTTTTTTTCTTTTTTTTTTTTATGATAAATCTTAATCTTCTAAATTCGTAGTTGCCCTAAAAGAAAAAAAAAAGAAAAAAAAAAGAAAAGGAAAAAAGAAAGAAAGAAATAAGTTCATGAAATAAATTCATGAAAGAACAAATGAAATCATGACACTGATCGAATTCGGAACACGCCTTCGATACTTTTTCGTATTCGCGACACTTCTCCTCAAATACGAGGCTCATCATTCGATAAGTAATTTCACTTTTGCCGTTCGATATTTTTATGTAAATATACTTTGTAACGTAACGGATGAGGTAAGCAAACCATGTACGAGTCTCGCTAATCATTCTGCATAAAGTAAAAGAAAAAAAGAAAAAAAAAAAAAAGGGAAAAACATTCCCCCCCTCTCTCTCTCTCTTTCTCTCTTTCTTCCTTCTTTATACCCAAGTTGATTTATTTTTGTCAACATTCTTTATTAAGACCTTTTTTTAATGAAAAAAAGAAAAAAAAAAAAGAAAACAGGTACAAAGATCGAACAATGTAAATTCTTAAACAACAACACGTTTATCCATATTTTCTCTCTTCATAAAACGTAAATACGTAAAGACTCTATCAATGATAAATATTTGAGATTTGAAATTCTCTTTTTTATTTCTTTATTTTTTACGTCAACGAACGCGCGCACATTATTATTATTATTATTATTATTATTATTATTATTATTATTATTATTATGAAGAAACATACGATATCGTAAGTTTTAAGATTTAATAGCTTTCCTCTTCGTTTTCCCGACTTTTCAATTTTTAAGATGATGATATCGCAATTTTACATTGTTTTAGAGAATGACATTATTACCACCAACCGTGGAACAACAAAGACGAATTAATGAGGAAATTCCTCCGGATCCAGAAATGAGGAAGAGAGATATCATTGCGATTCGAGAATGGCTTTCGAAACAATTGCATTTGCCAAATCATATGGGTAAATAATTGATTAAAAAATAATATCACATGTGCTTTTCTTTTTTTTCTATTTTTTTTTTCTTTTTTTTTTTTTTTTTTTCATATAAAAATCGTATATTAATTCGTTAGCGATGAAAGTTTATCAAGACGTTTCAGATATTAAAAAGAAACAAAGAGATATTGTTCGTCAATTTTAAAATTACATAAAAGAAAATAATCTGTGTGTTATATCATAACGAAATGTATTATAACGAAATAATTTTGATAAACAATTCAAAGCCGACTGGCATAATATTTTCAAATAAAATATATTACTTTGGTTAATTTTAATTTTACATATTCCAGACGATAACAGGTTAGAAAATTTTCTTTTTGGTTGCAAAAATAGCGTCGAACGTTGCAAACTCATTCTCGAAAGATATTTTAGCGTTCGCACAGCTCTGCCAGAATTATTTGCCACTCGCGATCCATTTTCACAAGAAATTCAAAATTGCTGCGATGCCATGTAAGTATTATATATTTCGAAACAATATTTTTCTCTTTTTTGAATAAATAAAAAAAATAATAATAATAATAGTAATAGTAATAATAAATGACCATAATGATTATCATGATACAAAACACATTCAAGTATAATTAGATATTATTTGTTATTAATTACCTTTACAAATTAATATTCTTACGAGATATATGTATAATTATTCAAGCTGTCATGATTTTAACAATAGATAAGATTACTTGTGTCAGGTAATTTTTATTTTCACGACAAATTACAGGATGACTCGTTCCAATGTATTAACTAATTTTAAATGTATATTAGATGTAAATTTTCTTTCGAAGTATATTAATCATGTTATTTCATTTTATATTCCTCCGACAGACAATATTTTGTATTACCATCTCTCACTGGCGAAGGATACAGAGTTACAATTTTAAGATTAAACGATACGGATATAGACAAATTTTCAATTCAAGCGATATCAAGAAGAATTTTAATGGTACAAGATATTCGTTTAATAGAAGAACCTTCTTTATCTAATATCATGATCATAGATCTCGAGGTATGTATATCAAGACTGATAAAAAAAGGAAGAAAATTACATGGACGAATAAAATTTTATCTTTGTCGATTAAATATGAAACAAAAGTTCCTAAATAATTTTATTAACCAATTATCAATTTTTAAAGACTTTTTAAGCTAATCTTTCTTTTTTCGAGTTTCTAAAATTTCGTAAAGTTTAACAAATCTAAAAAAAAAAAAAAAAAAAAAAAAAAAAAAGAGAAAAAAGTGATTGATTTTAAATATCATTTAGGAACTACTTTTGGCCCACTCTTTTAAGAAATATATATATGTATATATAATTTAAAAAGAAGGAAAAAAAAATTATGTTTAACTACTTACGTATGGGTTAATCATTACTAAATATCTTAAAAGATGGTCAAATACGGCAAGAGAATATCTAATAGATCTTTCTCATATGTAAATAAATTTCTTTGACTTAAATTTCGTATAATGATGTTGGTTAAAATAAAAGAGATAACGAATATGAAAATGTAGATAATTATAACTTTTAGGGATTTACAGCAGCACACCTTGCTAAATGCAGTCCAACGCAAACAATAGTGAGACGAGCAATGTTGGCAATACAAGATAGTATGCCTATGCGACTTTACAGAGTTCATTTTTTACACGCACCAAATTTAATCAGCAATATACTTAATTTGTTTTATCCACTTCTCAAAGAAAAATTAGTGGACAAGGTATAACTCTCTCTCTCTCTCTCTCTCTCTCTCTCTCTCTCTCTCTCTCTCTCTCTCTCTCTCTCTCTCTCTCTCTTTTTCTCTCTCTCTCTCTCTCTCTCTCTGTCTGTTTCTTACAAATTAAATTTTATTATTTTTAAATATTTCTTATATATATATATATATTTTTTTTTTTTCAATTGTTAAGATTATTGAGAATAAATAAAATTCGATGATCTTTAAGTATTTCTATCGTAATTGTTAAATTGTCAAATATCTAGAAAAGAAATTGAATTTAATAATTTCTTAAATATTTCATATCGTGATCTTTAAATCATTGCATTTATTAAAAACGAAAACAAATTTGATGACGTTCATGGTATTTATATCGTAATATCAAAATTGTTACTTTTTGAGAATGAAGTTGAATTTCAAAAAAAATAAAAAGAAAAATAAAAAAATAAAAAAGTTGTAATTGCAATTACAAAAATTGTGACAATCATTTAAATTAAGAAATGAAATGATACAATAATTTTTTATTACAGTTTCGCATACACACGGGAGGTGGAGAAGAATTATATTCATATATGGATAAAGAAATATTACCGAACGAATGGGGAGGCAAAGCTGGTACCTTCGCCGTACTAAATGGTTCTCTCTTTTTTATTTTTCTTTATTTTTTTTTTTTTCTTTTTTTTTGGATCTTTTTTCCTTTTATATATCCTTACAATATATATATATATACCTATCTATATTTATAATAATATTACTTGATGTGAATTTATAATTAACGAATTTTAATTAGAAGGAATATAAACTTAAACATTAATGTAAACGTCACGAGATGAGTAGAGAAATGTAAATTAGTGTTTGTAGTATAAACGAGATTTGCTCGATTGCAGATGCGTGGAGGAAGAAAATTGAGAGAAACAGAGATTGGTACTTGAAAGAGGAGAAACTCAGTCGTACGAACGAGAGCGTTCGTTTGCCAGGAACGAAACCTTCCGGTCTTTTCTTGGAACTCGATGGCGTTCAAGGTTCTTTTAGAAAACTAAATATTGATTAAAATATTCAATGATGAGACGAGAAGATACTCATGACAATAAAACATAATAATAATATATATATATATATATATATATATATATATACATATATATATATATATATATATATATATATATACATATATATATACATATACACAGATATGCATATATATATATACGTAGATATGTATGTATGTATATGTATGTATGTGTGCGTGTGCGTACTTGTATGTATGCGTGTGTGTAAAACAATAATAATATATATTATTATAAATTACGAGTAAATATTTTCAACCGTGATCTCGGTATTTATATAGAAAAATATTATATAAACGCTATGTACTTATATAAAATGTTTAAAAATTTTTTTTTTTTTTTTTTTTTTTTTTTTTTTTTTTTTTTTTTTTTTTTTTTTTTTTTTTTTTTTTTAATTCTTGCGATCGTCGAACGTTATTACATAATTTTTTCCCTCATTAATTTTTTCGTTTTATCACCTAATCTTTTTATCATTCAACAAAATTTTTAACAAATTATTATTAATTCTTTTATCGACTTTTTATTATACCTTAATGTTATGCCGTATTTGCCCGAAGATAGCGCCACCAATACATATTTCCTAAGTTTAAAAACTCACTAATCTACATATTCACACAGTTTTCATTTTCATTCAAGTTAACACCAATTGAAGGGAATTGTAAGGATTTCATTCATTGTCATTCATTAAATTTCAAACTTCGATAATCGATTGTTTTGCTTTTAAGTCTTATATAAATCTTATTTCTATCGATTTCCAGAAGACAAAGATATAAATAACATACGTATTTATGTAATAAAAGAATTCCTTTTCATTTTCTAAATTTTTTTTTCTTTTTTTTTCTTTTTTTTTTTTGAAATTTTTCTCTCTTTTATTTTTATCTTTAAAACGAGCTATAAGTAATTGACAATGAGAAATGAATCGTATCGAACGATATCGTGTTTTTTTCCTTTTCTTTCTTCTTTCTTTTTTTTTTTTTTTTTTTTTTTTTTTTAACAAACGGAGATTAAATTATCTGCGAAATGTTTGAAGCTAAATTAATTCATTCAAACAAAATTTCTTAGCAGACGATAATAAAAAAAAAAAAAAAGAAAAAGAAAAAATATATACATACATACATACAAACATACATACATACATACATGTATATATATATATATATATATATATATATATATATATATACATATATAATATACATTGTACATACTAATTTATTTTTACGATCAGTTAAACAACGATAACACCAAATTGTTGAGCTTTGCGTTATGACTTGTGACGACGTTTACGACTGTCCAGTGAACATCTTTTGTCCCCGCTTAACTAACTTAATAACCTAATGATGGCCGACTTCGTTCTATAGTACCATATAAGAATACTTCACTCATATATATATATATATATATACATACATATATATATATATATACATATATGTATATATACGTATATATATGTATGTATGTATGTATCGTTACAATTTTATAATTGTTTTACAACAACGTTAGCTGGTTATACAGGATGATGGTTACTGTTGAGTGTCACGATCAAGATTGACAATGATGATAGAGCTCAATGTGTATTTTAGTTCTTTCTCATCGTCTTCATCTTATCTACGCAACATTCGTTTATTTTGTAAATAACTTGGCATCTTGTATGGATATACGTGTAACTGTATACATATATATATATATATATATATATATATATATACATATAATATCAAAAGAAATCGTTGTTACGTACTAAATACGTATCTATATGTACGTAGATACGTACGTATCTATACGTACGTATCTAAATTCTCGTAAACAAACAAATTTTTAGAATATTTTTGTCCTATGTAATACGTATAATATACATTAACGTAGTTGATTAAAATTATTATAACAGAGAGATAATACGCACGTCAAGAAAAGTTAGATAAATTCTTGATATCTTTTAGGTAAGATCGTTTAAATGTTATTATATATATATATATATATATATATATATATATATATATATATAGAAAATTTCGTTATGTACGCATGTATATATTATATATGTACGTTATATGATCTAGATATTTCTCTGTTTCATTTGAAAATACAATAGTACTTAGATTCCCATGGTTATTTTTCTCGACAGTCGATTTACGACAATCGTACAACTACCACCGACGACCCATCCAATCGTACACATTTATCTTTAATAGTTGGAGTCACGCGAGAGACCGATATTTGCACAATCATTTCTCTAGGATTCGGTTTTATCTAACAAAGCGTTATTGTTGTCGTGTTTTATTCCGTGGCATTAATTTCATGATAAATTTTCAAACACGTAAAAGATGTACACGCATACATACATACATATAAATATGTATATATATATATATATATATATATATATATATATATATAATTTTTTTAGAGAGATAAAGAGAGGGAGAAAAAGAGAGAGAGAGGGAGAGAGAGCGAAATGGTCTTGTTAGCGAAACTTTTATTACACAAAAGAACAAATAATTCTCTTTCGAGCAATTTAAATGATAGAATTATTGAAAATGAGAGAAGCAGGTATAATGGGAACTTTTTATGCAAGTAATATTTCACTAAGCTCGATCGGTCTTAACTAATACACGTAAAACATACATATATATATATATATATATATATATATATAAATATTCGCCTAAAGCACGCTAACATAATTATCAGAAATTTTTAAAACGATTCGACCAACAAAGTCCAAAGGTCTCTCTCTCTCTCTTTCTCTCTCTCTCTCTCTCTCGTGATATTAAATATTAAATGTCAATTGCATATATGACTTGTCAATGAGCGTTAACTATTAATCGATTGAAAAGGTATCATCTGAACGTTCCACATCTTAACAATCGTTTGTTCGTATAAAAAGACACGATCATTCTAGTTTAATATATTAACTCAATGATTAGACTTGAATGATTCAATGATGAACAATATAGCGTAACTAATATTAAAACTTTGTGATATTTATAAAAAAAAAAAAAAAAGAAAAAAAGAAAGAAAGAAAGAAATACATATATATATATACATATACATGAAAATATTAATAAAAGGAGGATAAAGAAAGAGAATGAAGTTTTCAAATATTCGAAGAAAATCAAGTTAAACGTTGTACCCAATAAAAGTAAATACACGTTGTATCCTACCAACTCTACCTACCAACCTACCAACCTACCAATCTATCTACCTACCTGCACATATATTGACTGTAAAAATACACGTATACACCACGTTCATAGGTATAGAAGAGAGAAAAAAGATGGAACTCGGACGGCAACGGTATTCGTGTCCCGATTGGTTATAGCTTTCATCCGTGTGTCAAGTTTATAATGGTGAAGAACGAGTCCGCATCTCGTTGAAAGTTCTTAGTATTGGTAGGGTGCAAATAGAGAGAAAGCGACCGAGCGATAGAAAGAGAGAGAGAGAGAGAGAGAGAAAGAGAGAGAGAGAGAGAGAGAG